TCAAGTAGACACACGCCCTGGAGAGAACAATCATGGGAGAAGGAAGGGCTGCTTATGCACAGGGAGACAGCTCAGGGCGCAGGAGAGTATGGAGGGATAGTCACTGGGAAAAGGTAACTATGGGGAGGAAGTGGGAGGGGAGCTGTTTGTTGCATTGTGGTAAACTGTGGTCAATGACATGAGACAAAGTATACATATGTGCACTGCTGTATGGAAAGTGAATTTGCTCTATATATCTTCACCCAAATCACAATAAATTAAATAAATAAAAAGAAAAAAATTATTTTTCTATAGCTGCATGCTGTTTGAATTCTGTTGGTTTTGAATGATTCTATTTAATTTGTAAATATATTTTGGTTTTAAGCACATTGAGTTTTACTGTGATAATTGTGATAATTTATGTCAATAGTAGGGTTACGGTATTTTTCCTTTCATGAAGCCCCCTTCATCATTCATATATACATTTTTATATATATATATATACACACACACACACACACATATATAAAAAGAAGAACAGGCTTGAAAAGGTATTAATATGGTGAAAAATCAGGAAAGCTCATCAAATTATGAATAAACATAAAATTAAATGCGGACTCAAAACAAGACTATACTCAGGTCAATTACTAGTTATTTAATTTTTTTATTTAATGTCTTAAAGTACTAAATGTTAAGTTCTGCCTATATACCAACGACACATTGAATAATTAACAGGAAAATAGCCATCAGAACTTTCAAAAATACTAAAATCAGTAGCCACTAATTAGGTTTCAAACTGCATGTTGTTGCTGTGAATCTGACTCATAGTGACCCTAGAACACAATACAACTGCACCATAGGGCTTCCAAGTCTATAATCTTTACTGATGCAAACTGTCATCTTTCTCCGTGGAGGATTGTCTGGATTTGAACCGTCAACTACTTGTGGTTAGCAGGTGAGCTCCTTTTTCCAACTGCATACAAACATGTAAAATATGTATCATTCTCTTCCCTCACTCCCAATAAATCTAACCATACACCTACATTATCTAAAAAAATTCTTACAGGCACACTGAAGTACCTTGACTTACTGTTCTAAATTTCTAAAGACATGATAAAACAAAGATTATTTCATAAACATTAATCTTATGAACCAAAGAGCAGTGATCAAAACGTAAGTCACAGATATAAATCGTTCAGAGAGATTTCCAATAAAGCTAATTAAGTTCTAAGTAGAATTAAGTGCAAGTAACTACATCATAAATAGTGTAATTATTTTGTGAAGACATTTTTAAAAATTGGAAAAGTGTTTACTCTTGCAATCTTTGATTTGTAAAATCTAACATCAGGGACAAAATTATTTTTTATACATATTATATTCTCACTGCTAAATTTTCACTTACCTGGAAGGAAGTAGCATTAGAAAAGCTCTATTGAAGTATTTCCTAAAATTCTTTCATGTCTTCCTCAGGAACATGGCTATTTTAAATGTTGCAATGGGGAAAACAATGTTTGTGGACCCAGGGGGATAGTGAAAGCAGAATAGTGAAGTGTGATACAATGAAAGTTTCATTGTATTACTATGGAAAGTACTGGGAATTTAACAATTAATCAAGTCACAACCATTTTTCTCTAATACAGATACACTTTTTAGTTTACCTAAGACACAGTAAAGAGTACATCTTCCTTTTAAACATCTTTTCAAATAGTGCTCAAAATCCTTAAGACCATCCCTGAAACAGCAGAACCAAAATCTGTATATTAATACGCTTTAGTCTCATTATTTTCAAAGATGTCTTTGCCGTTAAATCATTTCGAAGATAACTGAATCAACCAAGGATCAGTACCAATAGTATCTATAGGTAGTTTTATATGACAACTATCACTGACATTCTTGATTTTGTATTTACTTTCATTCTAATCAAATCCAAATTATTCCTAATTCCTTAGAGTTTCTATTTAACACCTTCCAGGTGATTCTATATTATTATGCAATCAGCTGTTCCCAGAAAAACTGAATAATAAGGAAACATACCTAAGAGAGGAGCTTGGGAGATTTTTTTGGTTGGGTATGTGTGTGTCTGGGCGTGTAGGCCTGGGGAGAGTGGTAGAAATACTAATTTGCAATACAGAAAAAACAACACCATTCACATGGTTCTAACAAAGTGTCTGATCACCCCCACCCCCACCCTTAAAAAGCCCTTAAATAAAGAGGGAGATCAAAAGAAAACAAAGTAACTCCCCCAGAGAATTAATCCATAAATACCAAAAGAAGAGCACAGGAAGTGGCAAAGTTTAAAATAATGACATTACTGTTAGGACTAGGTTGCTGTCATAAGCCACAATCCTTTTGTTTTGATAACAGTTCTTGATTTTCAATAGAAAAATACAAATGAACATGTGTACAAGTTACAAAGTGGATATAGCACCTTTGAATTTGGTATCAAATAATTAATTTTACTTTTCACATGTCAAATCTTATTTTAATTTTTTTCCATTATTTTAAACTTCACTTGAATCTTTTAAAAAACTATCTAATTTGTACTATGAGTGCAGCTTATTCTTCTGTAAGATGCTATCAAATTAAACTATCAGTAGTCTTAAAGAAAAGGGAGTTACTATCAGAAAAACTCTTATTAAGCTTTGACAATCAAACAGGCAAATTATCTCCAATATACACTATCTAAAGATAAATTTATACAATTATTTTAACAGTCTAAGTATAATCAATTTCATAGGTTAAAAGACTAATTTCATGTTACATTATGATAAGTACTTATATTCCAGTTAACCAGTTTTCAACTCTGAAAAACTAAAAATTTAATTTTTTTTCTTTATACTATCAAGTTGCTCATGAAATGCTATCAATTATTTACATTAACTTATTATTTTTTTTAAAAAATTACATTAAAGTTGAATATACTTTAATGGTAATAATGTGCAAGTCTAGTATTTCAAATCAAACTGCTCTACCTCAAACATCTTGTTTTTAAAAGACAAATGTTTAATAAAAGATAAAAAAATTTTTAACCTTAGGTCTTAAAAACAAATATTTAAAAGTCAAAGTTTTAGTCTAGCCAGCTTTTTATTTTAAATAATCCAAAAGAAGTCAAATCTACAAATACCGACATCTTCTATCTCTCAAAGAGAGATTGGAAATTACTTACCCCATACACCTGCAGCTAAAGATTTATTCTGATTTGGTTCTCTCTCATACTCAGGATTTAAAGATGGCTGGAAGAAAGTCACAATAAAAAATAGTAAAATAAATGTTTAAATGGCTCACATTTTTAAAATAAATATTGTAAAAGCAATCCCAAAATTACACAAAATGTCATTGAAAACCTTAACTTCAGTTTACTCTGTCTGCTAGCCATTAAAATGGTTACTGATCTCTATACTCGGCATTCGATGTGAAAAAACAGGCAAGAGAGTCTTTAATATACTCCTTATCTCAAAGTACCTGAAAAAATGTTTATTCACAAACAGGCAAACAAACACAAGTGAATGTGGCCTTTGTATTAGTCTGAGAAATAATCCCTCCTTAGCCTAAGGCTGAAAGCTAGACAATGAATAAAGAATATGGAAGAGTAACTGATGCCTTTGAAGAGTAATTTATCACGGACTGTCAGAAGAATGAACAGATCTGTCTTGGAAGAAGTACAGTCAGAATGTTCCTTAGAAGTGAGGGAGCCAAGACTTCATCTCGTGTACTTTGGACACATTATCAGGGCAAGGACATCAGGCTTAGCAGAGAGTCGGAAAAAAAGAAGACTCCAACAAGAGTACTGACACAGTGGATGCAACAATGTGCTTGAATATAAGGACTGTGAGGATGGTTCAGGACTGGGCAGTGTTTCATTCTGTTTTACAAAGGGTCACAATGTAAACTTGATGGCAACTAACAATAAATAGCAGCAGCAGCAGGTCAAAAGCAGTGAAGAGGAAAATTCAACTTTTCTCCAACTTTTGTTAAGTTTTTATTACTGGATATTTTAGCTGACAAATTCATTTTCAAAGGAAGGTACAAAATTTTATTTCAGTTTAAGTGATGCTCAGCATACTAAGAGAAGTGAAAGTGAATTGAGCATCTCAGTAATACTATTTTCTTTCTACTCACTGCCCTCGAGTCAGAACCGACTAATAGCGACCACCTTGGGTTTCCGAGGCGGTTATCACTACAGAAGTAGACTACCCAATCTTTCTTCCTGGGAGTGACTGGTGGATTTGAACCACCAGCCTTCTGGTTAGACTTCTAAATTTCCAGTTTTATGTCAGATATTTTCCATATTGCCTAGCAACACAGCCTGCCTTACTTTAAATGCTGAATGATTCCTGATATATTTTAATCACCCACTGAAGTGAATTAACACTGTACTGACATCACTGTAAAGCATTCAAAGAGCACAAACACATACCAGGTAATCCCTTGATAGAAATAGGGTTAATAGAATTTTAGTTAGGAGCTTGCATGGCTCCAGTTTGTGATCGGTTGCGAACCAAAAGGCTGCCAATCGAACTCACCCAGCAGCTCCTCAGAAAAAAGGCCTGGTGATTTGTTTCTGTAAAAATTACAGCCACAAAAACCCTATAGACAAATTCTACTCTGTATAACATGGGGTAATCATGAGTTAGAACTGACTTGACAGCAGCAGGTTTAGGTTTTTAAGTGCATTTTAAAAATAAATACTATTTGAAATTATATTCTAGGTCTACACTCCAGGACTAGGATTATAATAATTGTCCCATCATCTTGGAAGTAGGGGTGGGAGTTTAACAACAATAGCAGTAACTAGCATTTTATTGAGCATTTAATTTGTCAGACATTATTTTAAGTGATTACTTCCATTACTCATTTAACCCTCACAACATTATGGAAGAGTACTATGATCACTGATAGTTTGTTTATATTACAGAAAGTCCATTTTATGATTACAATCTAATGAAAATAAATGGACCTCTGAAACAGGAAGGCGTACAGATTCAAAGGTTACAGATTACAGGACCTAAGAGAATCTTTTAATCTTTTCTCTTTCTTCCCACCCTACCAACCCTGAAAAACCAATCTATGCAATTTTCTATCACTCATTCTCATCTTACTTTCAAATTAATTCCAAATTATATCCAAAGATCATTTTTTTTATTTACCACAACTATTCAGTCCAAGCTATCATTTTCTTCCAAACTAACTGTGACTGTTTCTGAGCACTTAACCACTGCTTCACCAGTGGTACTTTGGGGTTCTTCTGCCTCCATCATAATCCACTCAACCAAATAACTGGGATACCTGACCAGTCTCAACTACTGAAGTAATCAAAACAAGGAAAGTTTTATAAACTATCACAGCTGTAAGAAGCCTAAGGGGACATGATAACTAAATTGAATACGAAGCCCTGATCGGATTTCAGACTAAAAAAAGGCATTACATAAAAACTCGGAATATGTGAATAAAGTACGTTGTTGATCTTATGTGCCACTGAGTAGTCTCTAACTCATAGTGACCTTATATACAACAGAACGAAACATTTCCTGGTTTTGTGCCAGCATCATAATCGCTACTATACCCGAACCCATCGCTCCAGCCATCATATAAATAAACCTTGTTGAAGGTCTTCCCCTCTTTCATTGACCCTCCACTTTACCAAGCATGGTATGCTTCGCCAGAGAATGGTCCCTTCTGACAAATGACCAAAGCAGGTAAGACGAAGTCTGGCTGTCCTTGCTTCCAAGGAACATTCCGGCTGCACTTCTTTCAGGACAGATTTGTTAGTTCTTTTAGCAGTGCATAGTACTTTTTGCATTCTTCACCAGCACCACAACTCAAAAGCATGAACTCGTCTTCGATCTTCCCTTTTTCACTGTCCAGCTCTCACATGCATATAAGGAAACTGAAAACACCATGGCGTGGTTTAGGTACATCTTAGCCTTCAAGGAGATATCTTTGATCTTCAGCACTTGAAAGAAGTCTTTGGCAGCAGACATCCCAATGGAATATGTCTCTTGATGCCTTGACTGCTGCTTCCATTGGTGTTGATTGTAGAACCAAGCAATATGATGTCCTTGATGACTTTAATCTTTTCTCCACCTGTCGTGATGCTGCTTACTGGTCCAGTTGTAAGGATTTTCATTTTCTTTATATTGAAGTGTAATCCACACTGGAGATGGTAGTCTTTAATCTTCAACAGTAAGTGCTCTAAGTCATCCTCACTTTCAGCAAGCAAAGTTGTGTTGTCTGCGTATCGCAGGTTGTTAATATGCCTTCCTCCAATCCTGATGTTCTTCTTCATATAGTTGATCTTGGATTACTTGCTCAGCATACAGATTGAGTAAGTATGGTCAAAGGATACAACCCTAACACACCCCCTTCCTGATTTTAAACCCTGTGGTAAGTATCGCCCTTGCTCTGTCCAAGTGACAACCTCTTGTCTATGTACAGGTTCCTCATGAGTACAGTTAAGTATTCTATAATTCCCATCCTTCTCAATATTATCCATAAGTTGTTATGATACACACAAATGGCATTGCATAGTCAATAAAACACAAGTAAGTATCTTTCTGGTATTCTTCACTTTGAGCCAAGATCTATCTGACATCAGCTATGATATCCCTCCCTCCATGTTCCCTTCTGAATCCAACTAACAATTCTACAAGTTCTGTCAATATACTGCCACAACCGTTTTTGAATTACATTCAGTAAGATTTTACTTGCACATGACATCAATGATATTGTTCGGTAATTTCCACATTTTCTGGCATCACCTTTCTTTGGAATGGGTACAAATATGGATCTCTTCCAGTCTGCTGGCCAGGTACCTGTCTCCCAAATCTCTTGGCATAGCTGAATGAGTACCTCCAGCATGGCATCCATTTGTTGAAACATCTTAATGGGTATTCCGTCAACTCTTGTAGCCTTGTTTTCACCAATCCTTTAGTGCAGCTTCAACTTCTCCTTTCAGTACCACTGGTTCTTGATGATATGCCACCTCCTGAAATGGATGATCATCTACCACTTATTTTTGGTATTTAAAGGAAAAAAAAAGGCCAAACTCATTGCAGTCGAGTCAGTCTCAACTCATAGTGACCCATCCTTGGATGTCTGAGGCAGTATCCCTACAGATTGCCCAACCCTCCTTCCGACAAGTGGCTGGTATGTCTGAACCTCAAGGCTTCTGGTTAGCAGTCAAATGCCTTGCATATTCCATCTATCCTCTTTTGATGTTTCCTACATCATTCAACATATTGCCCATGGAATCTTTCAATATTGCACTTTGAGGCTTAAAGTTTTTCCTCCATTCTTTCAGCTGGAGAATTGCCAAACATGTTCTTACCTTTTGGTTTTCTAACTCCAACTCTTGGTACATTTCATTACAGTAACTGACTTCTTTGTCTTCTCAAGCTGTTCTTTGAAATCTTCTATTCAGCTCTTTTATCCTGTCAATTCTCTCATTTGCTTCAGCTACTCTCCATTCAAGAGCAAGTTTGAGAGTCTCCTCTGACATCCACTTTGGTCTTTTCTTCCTTTCTTGTCTTTTTAATGGCCTGCTTTCTTCAATGGATGATGTTCTTGATGTCATCCCACAATGCTTCTGGTTTTCGGTCACTGGTGTTCATTGCATCATATCTATTGTTTGGACAGTCTCTAAATTTAGGAGTGATATAATCAAGGTCATATTTTGGCTCTTGTGGACTTCTCTTTATTATCTTCAGCTTCAACTTGAACTTGCACATGAGCAGTTGATGGTCTATTTCACAATCAGCTCCTGGACTTGTTGTTATGGCTGAAGATACTGAGCTTTTCTATCACCTCTGGCCACAGATGTCATCACTCTGATTCCTGTGTATTCCATATTGCGAGGTCCACATGTATAGTTGCAATTTGTGTTGAAAAAAGGTATTTGCAATGAGTAAGTCATTGGTCTTACAAAATTCCATCATGCGATCTCCAGTTTTATTTCTGTCACTAAGGCCAAATTTTCCCACTGCCAGTGAGTCTTCTTTGTTTCCAACTTTTGCATTCCAATCACCAGTTATACTTAACACATCTTGATTGCATGTTCGGTCAATTTCAGATCACAGAAGTTGGTACAAATCTTCAATTTCCTCATCTTTGGCTTTGGTGGTTGGTACGTAAATTTTAATAATAATATAATTAACTGGTTTTCCTCGTAGCCATATGGATATTATTCTGTCACTGACAGCATTGTACTTCAGAATAGAACTTGAAACATTCTTTGTGATGATGAATGCCATACCACTCCTCTTCAATTTATCTTTCTCAGTACAGAAGATAATATGGTTGTCTGATTCAAAATGGGCAAAACCAGTCCATATCAGCTCACTAATGCCTAGCATATCAACCTTAATGCATTCCATTTAATTTTTGACAGCTTCTAACTTTCCTAGATTAATACTCTGTACATTCCATGTTCTGATTATTAATTGATGTTTGCAGCTGTTTCTTCTTGAGTCATGTGACATCAACAAAAGGAGGTCATCAAAGCTTTATTCCACTCACATCATTTAGATCTGCTCTATTCTGGGGAGGCAGCTCCTTCCTAGTCATATTTTGAGTAACTTCTGACCTGAGGGACTCATCTTCTAGCATTATATCAGATAATGTTTCAGGGCTATTTTTCAGTACTATACCAGACAGTGTTTCACCACTATTCATAAGGTTTTCACTTCTTTGAGAAGTGGATGGCCTCTTGCTTCTTCTGAGTCTATCTTAGTCTGGAAGGTCCGCTAAAACCTGTCCATCATGGGTAACCGTATTGCCACTTGAAACACCGGTGGCATAGCCTCCAGCCTCACACCAACACACAGGCCACCATGAGACGACAAAATGACTGACGAATCATCACTCTTAGCTGTTCCAAACTACCTCACTCCCACTTCCTAGCCTTCCCTACCAGTTCAGGCCCTCCAAATACCCATCTGTCACATAAAGTATGGACTTTAATTAATAGTAATGTATCAACATTGGTTTGTTAACCATAACAAATGTACCATAGTAATGTAAGATATTAATAGTAGAAGAAACTGGATGCAGAGTATATGGGAAATCTCTGATCTTTACAATTTTCCTGTAAATCTCAACATGTTCCAGAAATAATGTTTATTATTAAAAAATAGCAAATGCATTACAATCTCTTAATTAATAACAGCACTAAAGAAAAAGTTGTTATAGAGTATCAATTTATTATTGGAGGATGGACAAATAAAAGAAATAATGAAAGGAGGGAAAAAAAACAAATAACTAGAATATCTTTTCAAAAAACTAAAATTAGAACACATGGCTCATTCTCAAGAGATATTTTCCACTTCATTCTAAAATTAAACTAAAATTCTTTACCTTGACCTGCAAATCTTAATTTAAATCCTTTTCTACCTTTCTAATCAATCCCAATACTACTCTTTTCACCAACATTGGCCTAACTCTCATCCTTTACACCTAACAAGCTTGCTTCTATCTTAAGGTCTTGCATTAGCTCCTTCTCTCGTCTTAACAAAGCTCTATCTTTATACAGTAGATCTCAGATTACTAATGTCACTTCCTTAGAGAGAAGACTTTTCTCAAAATGAAGCCATCCAATCACTTATCTAAATTCTCTGCAAAATATTACGTTTTATTTTTATTTTCTGACTGCCTCCACTATACCAAAACTCAGTAAGAATAAATCTCTCACCTATCTCATCTACCTACATTTTAAAAGCAGTTAGAAATCAATGGCTGGAATGCAGACTCACTGAAATGTATGTCTGGATGTATGTTCAATATATGTTAAATGAAGAATGGACAATGAAAACACTGAGAGGAAAAACATTTTAAAGTTCAATTCTCCGTACCTATAGTAAATAAGGTTGGGCAATCTACTTCCTTAGTGATACCACCTTGGAAACCCAAGAAAGCCTCGCTATGAGTTGTATACGACTCAACAGCTGTGCACAGCATTGTCTGTTGTGTTATAGGAAATAAAGGCACGCAGGCATCATAGAGGAGCTCCGGTGGCATAGCACATAAGGCATTTGACTGCTAACCAGAAGGCTAACAGTTCAAACCCCCAGCCACCCCTCAGAAGGAAGACTGGGCAATCTACTTCTGTAGTGATACTGCCTCAGAAACCCAAGGAAGGGTCACTATGAGTCAGATCTGATTCCCCGGCATTGAGTATGGTTTTTTGGTTTTGATACAGTAAATAAGGCTTTGAATTACCAGGAATGAGTCACAACAGGAACTAGATAAATAGTATTATATACTAGATCAATTTTTCTGTAATCAAAACCAAACGGTAAAATTTGACAATAAGAAAAACTAAAACAATTGTTTTTAATTAGCTGAAAGAGAGCCATCTCCAGGATTAACCTAACCTGTACATGCATGAATAATCACACACTATATTAAACAAGACAACCTAAGAAAAATGTATTGGTAAAATATTCCTTCTAAACACTTGATAGCTTTTTAGAGAAATTAATGATATGCTTGTAAATAAGCCACTAAGCTCTAAGTGAAGCTGCTAAAGTTTCTAGAAAGAATAAATCTTAACAGAAACTAATTAAAAATTTTAAAGTTCATATGAGAAAAGAAATAACCCGACCTACAAAGCTTTAAATTATTGGGGGCTGAGGTACGGGAGAGACAATGAGCCAGGAAAAAAAAAAAAAGGAAAAATGGAGGAGGAAGAGGAATTGTGAACACAAAGTCCTCAAAAACATAAAAATTAAAACTAATTAGACTGCATTAGGTGGATGCACTCCTTGGAGAGCTCAATCATTGGAGAATAAAAGGGCTGTGTATGCAGAGGGAGACAGTTAAGGGGGCAGGAGTGCATGGAGGAAAGGACACAGCAAAAAGGTGGCTATGGGGAATAAGTGGGAAGAGTGCTGTTGCATTGTGGGAGATTACAGTCAATGTGATAAGACAGAGTGTATGTGAAATGCTATATGGAAGATGAGTTTGCTCTGTAAACTTTCACCCAAATCACAATAAAATTTATAAATAATGATAATTAGACAAATATACGTGCAAAATGGAATCCCTGTAGAAAATGCTGTGTGTATAAAATGCCAGAAAAGAGTTAGATGCTAAAACAGCACTTGCAGAAATCTTATCTGTACTAAAATTACAAGAAACTTACAAAATCCTCAGCCTCAAATTGTTTTCTTTCTCTCTTGTCTTCTTTTCTCCCAGTTTCATTATCAGGTATGTTATTTTCATGTAGTCCTTGGCTTTTTCCAGAATGGAAAATACTGCTACGAGAACGGGAACTTCCACCATGATATCCCCCTCGGTGATTTATGTTCTCAGTACCATTTCTTCCATGTGTACGCCATCCATTCTTTTCTTTCCTTCCAAAATTACCTTTATTTGATAACAGAGAATTATTATAAATTCAAAGAGGCTTATGGTTAAAGATTGAATCACAATTAAAACATTTTTAAATAACAGGAAAAATATTATCCTTTAACTCCACCACTCCTTAGCAAATTTTACCTCCATTAGGACGACCAATACCAGAATCAAAGCCATCTGAAGAGTTGTGCCGTCGACGATTCACATCGTAACGATTTTCTGTCCATGAAAAGTTTTCAGAATGTTTCTCAAAATTCAATGAGGACTGAAACAAATTATAAACATATAGGTAAATATATTTATACAACCTAAATGTAACACTAGAAAGTAGTAATATTCCATCGAACTTACTTACACCTAAGAATTTTCAACACTTAAGAAGAACATTTTGTAGTTATTTCCAAGGCCTTTGATAATTAATAACTTTAAATATGGAAGATGGATTCCACTGTTGCCACTGTTGATCCATTTTCTTCTATTAAATGGGAATAAGAACACATTCCAGAAACAGTACTACTACATCTACTTATCCAAAATACTTACAGGTAAAATGCCACTGTAAGGGAAGAAAGGCAAGGCAAAGAATACCTCTCTCATTTAAAAAAAAAAAAAAAATCTAATCACAAGTTACTTGACTTAAAACAATGTTGCTATAGTTCAAGATTTCTTTTACTTAAGGAAACAATGGTTAAGTGACGCTTCAGTTTTAAGGTCTTTAGATTTCTTTCCAAACTCTTCTTCCCCAAATGAAACCTTTTAAAAAAGAAAACCTTATCAAAAGAATGAGCAAAACCTATTGATGGGTGGAGGGAACTACAGAAGGATAAAAGTTCCACCTATTTATAAAAGTTGTTATCTCAACTATAATCCATTTTATTGTAATCTAATTATAATCCATTTATGAATTTATCACCTTAGAACCCCAATGGGGATTGAAATGAGTCAGAATCTACTTGACGGCTGGGGGTTTGGTTTTTATAGTATTTGATAATCCATTAAGGAGCTCTGGTGGTGGTGTTAGTTGTTGTTGTTAGGTGCCAGTCAAGTCGCTTCCAACTCATAGAGACCCCATGCACCAAAGAACGAAAAGAC